TACCAATATCAATATCAGCACTTTCTTTGGGTGATGTCAAAACTATAACAGCCTCTGCAACATTATTATCTGAAACATGTGGTCTTTTGACAGTATCTGATGACGAAGAGTCAGATGGAGATTCTGAATCTATGGATAACATGAATGCATCAAGAGAGACAATTGGAGGAAGAGATCCAGTGGCTGCCTGCATCTCATCATCTATGGTGACTCCGTTAATTAGGCAAGTACCCTCATTAGAATCATTCAATTCATTCTTGATATCAAGGGCTTTAGTGATGGAAGGGGTTTTCTTCTTAATATTCTTTGGTCGAGACCAGTTAGGCGAACTCAATCCAACAGAGACCACCACTGAGCCCCTATCTATTGGTTCGACTTCCACTTGAAACTCTCCTTTGTGTGTTTTCCTTACCAGGCTTCTGATATCTACCTGTGTGTCCTGCAGGACAACCATTTGTGCCATCTCTTCTGCTTTTGCTTGTCGCCACTCTGCCAATTCCTTTGAAGCAAGTTCCTCTGCTGACATGGAACACAATCGCTCTGCTGGAATTTCTCCAAACAAAACTTTTTCTCTGAGTTTAGGATTATTTCTATCTTTCAAATTGAATAAGAGAGACCTTCCTTTCTCTTTATATTTCTTATTCACACCACAAAACAACTTAAAGAGTTCTGCCTCTACTTTAAATGCCAAAATTTGTGGATCCAATAACGTTTTTTCCTCGGATCTTTCCTGGCTTCCATCATTAGCCACTGCTCCAATCATTTCATTTTGACAATTGTCTGTAAATTCCGAATCCGACTCGAGTGCCCAAGAGAGGTCATTCCCTTGCAAAAGATCATCTTCTGAAAAGATGTTGTCACTAAATGAAAAATCGTCATGCAGAAAATGTTTTACAGCCTGAGATTCTTGGTCAAGAATTTCTTTGACATCATTTTTCTCGGTAATAGTCAAAATCTCCGGTAACACTGTCTGAACAGAGATACCTCCTACAGGACTAAGATCAGTGAGGGTCAGCATTGCGGTGGTCCCATTAGATACCATCACATCAACTCCAGAAGCAGCTGACACTGGCTCACTAACATGATCTTGGAGAGGATTAGTTGCAGTCTCACAATGTAACCTTTTAGACTCCTTGAGAGCTTCCATTTGGCACTGTACCATAGCCAGTGCACCAGCCAACGACTCTCTCATTTTAGACCTCACAGACTCGGATGATTCGTTCCGGGGTTTGAGCGGCAGCAGTTTCTGCGAAATTTGTTTTCTTGCAGCAGTTTGCTTCCCAGATTTATTACAAGAAGCAGGAGTATTATTACTCAACGATGCAGGCAAATACTGTGTTCTCGGGGAAACAGAAGATGACTGCACTAGCATGGGACCTTTACTTAGCTCGGATGCACATGGTCGGTGTACCATCCGTTTATTCTGCACAGGCAACAGCTGAGGACTGAAGATAGGCTGCGCGGGTGATTTCCGCTTACCATGTAATGTTGTGCTATCCATGTTAACTGGCAAATACGACGACTGCATCATAACATTAGAATCATGTCTTCTTAGTGGCAGTGCAGGTGCTTCCTGATAACTAGAGATTGGTTGCGAGAATTTCACCTCCGGTTTAGAAATCAGCTCTGGAGGAGGGACATTAATACATGGACCCATTTGCATACTTGCCTGTGTACTTACAGGGAAAGGCTGAGGCAAGAGATGATTGTTGGACATTGCAAAATACAGAGCTGCAATATGAAAATGCCAGGCGATTTCAGTGGAGCAATACAAGACAGCCACCATTTTGAATGTGGACGTGAATATAATGGAAACAATAGATAATGCAGAGAAAGAAAGTATTCATCGCAACCGATATGAATCAAAATTTTCACTCCGATCGATTGAAACAGAGTCAATGTTAAAACCTAAAATTGACTCACGGAAGGTGCATACCTAATCCGATAACGGAAGCAGAGATCAGAGGCGGCGACTGGAAGAGAGATCAAGGGCGAGCATGATTGTATTTATTATCCAAGGACAAGTGAAGAAGGCTAACGAGTGGCGGTGTTATAGTGAAGAAGAAAACCCTAAAGGAACTTTAGTCACTGATGATGTTAGAGAGAGAAGCAATGTTTTTAAAAACGGACCGACAACCGAACTGGACCGAACTTTAGTCGGGTTTTTGGCAGTTCAATCCAGTTTTTGGCAGTTCAATCCGGTTCAACT